AAAATGAACTAACATTGAATCGGTACTAGTCATGCTTAAATATTTATTTCCATGTTAGTATGTTTGTTTATAAATAATAACAGTAGGTAATTTTTTTACGTTACGTTACTCAATTTCGTTTTAAGCAAACAGATAAGATCGGCAACACCGCTTAAATGAAACTAGTAATATTGACAAACAATATAATGTAAATAAATATATACAAAATAAAAAAAATACTATCAGTACAATGAATGCTATTGGAACTTATCCTGAACGGATTCCGATGATTTAAAAAGTATTTATGTTAATGGTTCAAAATAAAAAAAAAAACTAATTTTCTGTTACAATATTAAGAATATAAAAACAGACTTATTACCACACACATTAATAAATTAATATACAAACACATACCAAACGAAGTCGATATGGTTAATCTTTGATTAAATTTATTTTTGATTACCACTATTTTTATCGTCCGTACTTTTATTTAGTTTTTACTACCTAACATACCAAGAATCGATTAAATGTTTCCAGGCACTTCACTACCCATCTACCGTAATCTATTATGTTGCTATTTAAAACGGTGATTTCGCGATGTTCTTTACATTACGTGCTTAGTACGACGCAATGTAATAAATATGCGCACTTCTCCAGCAATGTATATTTTCTTGGAAATATTTTTTGTGATTCACACTTTTGATAACATTTCACGAATTTCGACTAAAAATACTAAATTTGAGAAGTGTTCTACTTACTACTTGAGGATGGGCTTCTTGTTTTGCAATTAATAACTGCGCAAGTCGGCATTTTTAACACTTAGTGGCGTGTTTCACAGTACTTACAGCGCGCGCGTTCGTGAATGACTAAACATCGCGATCGCGTGGTGTAGTCACGATCCTGTACATTTGTCCAGGATCGTGGCTACACTGCCACGCCCACAAGGCCCTTCTAACGTCTTTTTGTGTTCTGTGAATGACACCAAATCTGTTCTCACCATACAGTTTTTGGCGAAATTAATATGTGTAATGTGCTTTCCAATTTTCGGGTAACAAATGAGCAGGAACAGATCAGGAAAGTAAGGCCTCAATGTTCAAGATTGATTCAAAAATAAGATAATTGAAAGTCATTATCATGCAACAAAAAACTGTGCTATGAAGAGAGTGTTGCGGCGCCAAACGCCTTTGATTTTATTGACAGCAATCGCTCATACGTCATATTGTTTCACCATCAATTTTTATAAAAATATAGTGTGGGTACATTATTACATACTTCACAATTTGCACTGTAAAGAGTCTTCTACGAAAATTACATTGTTTAAATCAAGAAATCAATTTTTCATTGCCACCATTGTGTAACTAAATACAGAGAGTGATCCGAGTTTTCGATAAGTCATCAAAAATAAACGCCATAAATACGGTATACAATGTTGATTTTGTTGTTTATTTATTTTTCTTATTTTTGTTTGTTTACTTCTAGTAGTGATGGGACATATTAATGACCTGATTGATTAAACTATCTCATTCAGTAACTGATTTATACATTTTTTTTTATGAATATAACTGTCAGAGTAGTTTTGTTGTGAGAGTTTTGTTTCATTTTTTATAATTAAATGTGTATAATAAAAAAACACCGGTGTATAATCCCCGCAAAGGGCTAATGCGCCTGGCCACCATTTTGATGGCGTAACTGCGTTAAAAAATCAGTACCGTTAACAAATAAACACTGATTGACTAGTACACTTATCGAGTTTGGTTGTTTTGAGATCATACATCATTTTTGTTTGTGTTTGTTTAGGATTGAGGATTGTTATTGTTAAGTTTTGATATTATGGTTCACTAAAATAGCAACTGCTATTATGATTTTTATTTTAAATAAACATAATTTTACTAATAATAAATATATCTAATGGTCTCTTTATTTTATTATTACTTTTGGTTATCTTTAAAAAAATGTCCTTTTCGTTTATTATCGCGTTATTATAAAAATGTTTTTTTTTTTATAAATCTCAACATTTACATATAAATTGATTATTTTTCCAACAATTCATGCAATAAATAAACAAATTAAAAGTCATTGAATTATCGTAATAATATTTTGGAAATTGTTTATAGTTATTTCAATAACTTCCAAACGACTGCAACAAATTGGACGATTCTTTTTTTTAATGTATGTTTGTATGTATCAAAGGACAACTATTTATAGTAATAAGTTTTGCAAAAAAAAAATAGACATACGTTTTTTTCGTAAAGGGAATTGTTCAGTTTGTATGGGCACTTTGGCTTTGAGTGGACATTATCTACAGTTATGAAAAACGTTATTTTTTAATATTTCATATCTTAAGGAAGTTAACTGTTGTAATATTTTCACGGGAAAGTTTAAAATTGTATATATATAAGCATGTGTAGTATTCCATTAACGATATAACGAAAAAGTTATTTTTTTCTAAAATACTTTAATTACCTTATCATCATATTAATTTATTTATGTTAGAAATAAGAAACAGAGAGTCTAAATAAAGAAATTGTAGATTTACACATATTTACCTTTAATTTGACAATACAATTCTACAAGCAAAAGACAGTACTTCTAAATACACATATTTATAAGAATAGACTTTACATAATCACTTAATAAATAAATTACACTGCTCATACAGTTTCTCTTCAGCTGGAGGCTGGCATTTGGGAAGTCAAAAATGGCAGCTACATTTATATAAGTTGGTCACATGATGTCCTAATCTTTGAATCTTCCACGGCCTCTCCTAATGTGTGCTCTCCCTCAAACAAGACCATTCTCCTGATTTGTGCTCACCTTCAAGCACAACTCTTCGGCTTAGAGCGGCTGTAGACTCACATTTACATCTGCGCCTATTAACAGAAAGGACTATTTTAAAACACCTATTCAGTACATTTGCACATAACTACTTAATAACAAATTAACATTAAATATTGAACAACTAGTTAATAGTAGCAGTATTAATAGTATATCATTCTGATGAAAGATGGAGCTTCCCAAAGCAAAAGAATTTTTTAAATCAATTTAATTTTAACTGAAGGAACTCCTGTTTAGACAGACCTTCAAAAGTGCATAATGTCTTCAGTCATTCCTTCAATATTGTTAAAATCCATTGTAAGATTTCTTTTTTACAAATGAAGCAAAGTCTTGTATAAGTTCTGTAGTAAATGTATGAATAGTTTGCATGATAGACAACCATTCAGCCCAATTATTATAATATAAATGAGAATTACACAGTCTACTGGTTTTTGGTACATAAAAGTAAAATCAACAAACAATTTTACCTGTAGCCATCTGGGAACTGTCAGTTGCTGTGGTGAGTCTCAACCCGGAACAAAAAATTATGCTTGTGAATCAGATGCTCTTTTAAAATCCGGTAAGGTAATGTTCTGTATAGGTTCTGGAATATTAGAAGGAACTGTCTCTATCTGCTCGCTGCCAACATGGATGACAGCTGTGATCAGATCCATGCATCTAAAAGAGTATAATATATAATTAAATTATTTGTCAACAAAATGTTATTTAACGATATGGTAGCGATATATTAATGTTTTTCATGTCATAAAGGAAGTTTAATTATAGTAATCATTAATAAATAAAAATAACTATAATCCTACCTGTCGTGGGGATATCCAATCAATAATTCCATTTCTAATGTGTGTTTCTCTGTCGGATATTGTTTGCAGTAGATGTGATCTAGTACGTAATATAGATCTTTCACAATTTATACAAAGCTGCCGACGATATTCACGTAGGAGACCATTATACGATTTAAATACATTAATTAAACCAAACAATTTTGAATTACCAATTCTATCTTTCTACATGGATTTACCAAAAGAAACATGTTAAATGATATTAATACGTTATTTAAAGAATTGTTTTATATAAACAATCTTTTAATAAGAATTATCACTCAAACATATTTGTCGACAAAGTGAAATGGTGCTGCCATATAAAAATCATTAATCGATTAGAAAGTAATCGATTGTTAGTGTAAATTAACTTATATCTAACCGAAAAGGATTATTTGTTATGTTTTTAATATGTTTGATACATGATTTTGCAAAAGATCACCTACTGTATATGCATTAATATATATATACTTTAATTACTTTCATTTGTATTAAAGTTAAAACATATCGATTAATCGATACTATTAGTAATAGTACTTTAATAACATTTATTGATATGGAAACACTGTGAAACATGTTAACAAAACACATCCGAATCCAAAAAATTCTTTTAAAAATAATATTTTTAATGTTTAGTTTCCCATGACGAGAGTATAAAAAATATTTTTTTCAGTTTTAATAATATTTTACTGTTTACATAGTTTTTACTAATTAGCTTGTCCACCAAAAGCCAAAATTGAACAATTCCCTTTACGGGTACTACTTCTGATATACCTTATCTTCTATAGATTTTGCTCATGAACTCTCGATTTAAATTTTTTTATATATTCACTTTTAAAATTATTTATTTTATACGATTCTTTTTATTTTTTGTTTTTTATTTAAACGTCTTTAGTTTACAAATGTTATTTAGTATGTTCTGACATATATTTACTTCTAATTACATTTTTTTTTTCTTAACGAAAAATACTTAAAAACCTTTGTCCTTTCGGCTGTTTGGTTGGATCGCCGGAACACTGATGAAAATTCGCATGCGAAAAAGTTACAAGTACTTGAAAAAGTCGTCAATCCTGTTAGATCCCGGGTAGCTCAGTGGCTAGAGCAGACGCCCGGATTGCGAAAGTTCACGGATTCGACGCCCATCTTAAAGTGCCAGGGATAAAGTGGATTTTTTAAACATTTTTTATTAGGAATATTTTCAAGTATAGCGTCGTGTATGCAAACTCGATCTAATATTTTTTATCAATTACTTCAATATGTCCTCCTGAGTTCTCATCACTAGTACTTTTTTTTCGAACCGGCAATGATCCTTGAATCGTTAGCGGGGAACGTGTGTCTGTCGTGTAAATTAAGACACCACTACATATTTTCCTGAAGTCCCTTTAAAGATGGCGTCTAAAGCGATAATGGAAGCTAGCAGATCGGTCGCTCACCTGCAGCAGCACGGGCGGGCGGCACGCCAGCAGCGCGCGCCACGCGCCCCCCGCCCCGCCCCCCGCCCCCACCGCCCCCACCGCGCGCACGTTGGCGTACCTGCGCGACCGCAACCGTGCACGGGGCTATATTAGTTATATCTTACACGTTGATGCAATATATTTGACACTGTGTCCCATACTCACGTGTGGTGCGGCGCGGGCGCGGGCGCGGGGGCGGGGCGCGGGGGGCGCGGGCGCGGGGGCGGCGCGGGGGCGCGGCATCAGGCGGGCCAGTCCACCACGCACACGCCCGCGTAGGAGCGGCCCACCGACATGCGCTCGCTCAGCACCGTCCACTGCTCCGTGGCGGGGTCGAACACCTGCTCGCACCCACACACTGTACACTGCACACTGTACATACACTGCACACGCTATACGCGCCCGGCCGTGGCTTGTAGGTTAAACGATCGTCAGAAACGCCTGCGATCTCTATACGGAACTATTTTCCCCAGCGTTTCCTGATTGTTTTTTATTTGTAGACCGCGTAAAAGTGACAATGTTTTTCCATCTTACGTGAGGACCGTTTGTTGTGGCGCTCGGTCCCCTCCGCCTCCTCCGTCGGGGTTCCGACGGGAAGATGTAGATATTTAGATAGATAAATATTTTATAGACTCGATTTCAATAAATAATGTACTCAATCAAAAAATATAAAAAGGTTCCAATTGTAAATATTTCACCCTACAACTATTTTTGTATTTCCCCACGATCTATTTTTTTTTACTTCCCCCTCTTAGAATTTTTGAATTCTTGCAAATTGAATAAATAACCTCAAATAATAAATAAAAAAAAATATCTTTCAATACTTTTTTCGTTGGGAATATATTGAACAAAATAAAAAAATCTACCGCGTCATCCATAAACACTGGACTATTGGAACTCGAAGCGAATCTGCGAATTCGTAGGCAAAAGAGGTATGAAGTTCCTCGCACAAATAATAACGCGCGTGGAGCCCCGCGTTATTACGAGGGCTGATGGCTCGATTTAAGTTTAGCTCGGTCGGGGACCGTGTCACATTCCGGCCGGATTCGTGGAGGGCGATCTGCGCGCAGGTGTCGTACACTCATTATTGCAATAGGAGCACGGTTTCGATTAGAGATGTAACGTATAGTTGTTTGGCCGGATACCGGATACTCGGTAAGCTCCGAGGCCGGAACGCCGGATATTCGACTTTTATCGCACTACATGACCCGATCACTTTGATTTTAATCTATAGCGTGACAAGTATAAGCAGTGTTACCAATTCTGAAATTATGGAGTATTTTTAATTTGAAATACGGTAGAATTACCTTGAATATTTAGCAATACTTTTTCGGTCAGAGTAGAAAAAACACGTGATCATTAATTAGAATTGGACAGTATAATTATTTCGGCATTTTTATACATAATTATATTATACTTTTGAAACATTGGATTGACCGGAACAAAAACAGTGCAATTTATTCTGTGACCCTGTATGCACCTGTTGCGATAAAAAAATTGCTCTAATCGATCTCGCAAGGAGTCGATTCCGATTTTCTAAAAACTCTTTCGCATTCAATATCCCAGTATGGCAGAGATAAAATTGCCAACATAAACTCGGGCAAATACTTAAAATAGCAAAGCGGGGTCGCTTCTTATCAACAAAACCAGAAAGTTTGGTATTTAATCACCACAATTTGCCCTTTTATGTCCCCACTGCAGGGTTCAGGCCTTCCTTATAGATGGTTAAGGAGCATGGGCCATGACCTTCCAGGCTGGCCCAATGCGGATTGGAGGGTATTGACGACTGCAAATGCAGCCGGGGCCAACGGCTTAACGTGCCTTCCGAAGCACGGAGTAGCTCGAGATAATAATTTTTTAGTCACCCATCCCGTGACCGACTCCTGCGAAAGTTGCTTAACGACAACGATCGCGGGCCGCGGCGCTTAACCACTACGCCACCGAGCTACTATAAAACTAATAAATAAATTAATTGTAAAGTGGTATAATTTTTTTTGGGTAAAATAACGAGATTTATGTTTATATCGGCACTCTATCCGGTATTCGGCCGGATAGTAAATATAAGACCGGATACCGGACATCCGTTTCATCTCTAGTTTCGATCCGATCACTCGGCGTACCTCGACGGTGTCGAGGTTGGCGGCGCCGTCGTCCCCGCCGACGACGATGAGCTTCCCGCGGTGCGCCGCCACGGCCGCGTTGCGCCGCTGCGAGTGCATCGGCGGCGCCGGCGCCCACGCCGCCTCGCCCGCGCCCGCACCTGCGCACGCACGCGGTCAGCCACGTGTACCCGCGCGGGCACGCCGGCCCGGCACAGGCACAGTGCACACTCACCGGGCCGCAGGCGCTCCACGGAGCGGCGCACGGCGGGCCCGTCGTGGCCGCCCACCGCGTACAGCGCGCCCCCCACCGCGCCCACCCCCGCCCCCGACCGCCGCGCGCTCATGGCCGCCACCGGCTCCCAGCGGTCCGTCGCCGGGTCGTACCTGCTCGCCGCCGAACATTTTAAAACACGAAAGTCGCAAAGTTCCCGAACGTTCCCGGGCTCGCGATGTTTATCTTTAAAAAATTAGCCCGATCGTAAACGACGGGACCGACGAGAGTATGTCCCGAGTGAATCCGAGGAGAAGCTAAAGATTACAAAATTTAAAGATAACAAAATTAAAAAAATATATATGAACGAATATCGAGTCTCCGAGTTCAACGGTTAGACCCCGGAAGATCGAGACGACGACGTGCGAGATCTCCCGAAAGCTCGACGTTCCAGGACGTTAAAGTATCCGCGGCAGACCTCGGATGCTCGAGTATCCGGGAGCGGCAGGGAATAAGCCAAAAATAATAATATAAAGAAGGAATCGAACCGTTCGAATGGCCCGATCTTGAAAATGAGCTCCGAAGTAGAGTTCCGTTTATTACTCGATTCTTAATAACGAACACCTTCAGCGGTCGCTAGAGGTGTTCCAGCAGGCACACGAGAACATCGAGCTTTCGACTTATGTCTATCAGTAACAGCGAGGTGTCGAGGACCTCTCGACGGAGTGCAGGCACTGGCGGGAGGCGCCGTCGTACCCCCCCACGGCGTAGAGGCGCCCCCCCAGCGCGGCCACGCCCACGCTGGAGCGGCGCGTGGCCATGCTGGCGATGGGCCGCCACGCCGGCTCCGCCGCCGCCAGGTCCAGCGCCTCCGCCGAACTGAGGCCGGTGACGCCGTCGAAGCCGCCCACGGCGTAGATGACGTCCCCGATGGCGGCCACGCCCAGCGTGGAGCGGCGCGCGCACAGGGCGGGGCCCGGGGCCCACGCGTCCGTGGCCGCGCAGTACACGTCCACGCTGCGCACGCGCAGCGACCTGCGCACAATCGAGAGGCCGATTCGATCGCGGAAATCGAGAGGTCGATTCGTCGCTCCGTCAAAATATTCGTGATCGGAATGGCCGTCGCTAGCTTCCTCGTCGGAGGCTATCGGATCTGATCGTAATACGTTCGTCCGATCGAAACTAGGATTCGACGTTCGAGCCGTATCAGAGGTTAATTTTATCTGTGAGGAATTTTATTACCAGCAAAGATGTGCATAATATAAAACTTAATGTAATTTTTCATTCGTTCCGACCGTAGATTTATGCGATTCCGATTAGAAAGAAAGAAAAAAAATGATTTTATTGGCCTTCACAATATATGTATGCAATATTATAGAAAAAAAAAGATATAAAGAAAAAAAAGCACAATGATATATTGAGAGGCCAACCGAGTAGACCGTGATATCTCGTCGTATCTCAGTGATATCTTTTGTGACAATGAACATCACAAAAGCACTGTTATTCTAGAACCCCCTGTAGTGGAGTGCCGTACTAAGTTTTACCATATATTTATTTAAAAAAAAAAACTCCAGTTGCGTCGTATCATTATAATTGATCATACGTGACATATTTGAAGTGAGGTATCCTGCTTAGAATTTTCGTTTAATTTATTAATCGAACGAATCGATATGGTTTTAAACACATGTGTTGTGCAAAAAAAAACTTTTTGACGTGGCAACCTCAAACAACATAATCCTGTTCGGAATTAAATTTATAAAAAAAAATAGCTTTCGCCAGCGGCTTCACCCGTGTGGACCCTAGAGAAATGTTAAGTATGATATAAAGCATCCTATTATCTAAGTCAGCTAATACCCTATCTGTATACCGAATTTCATAAAAATCGGTTTGTGTGAGCGATTGTGAGTTTCGGCGTGAGTGAGCGACAAACATCCAAACCAAGAAACTTTCACATTTATAATATTGCATAATAGGATTACCTCTGTCATAAAAAATAGCTGAAATCGAATCAGAATCAGATTATAAAAAAACTTCTACTCGGACTACGGAGAACACCGTTCCCTGTTCTGGGCGCCGATCGTCCTACCGGTGCGGGGGTACTGACCCGTTGAACCCGCCGATGGCGTAGACGGCGTGGTGGTGGCGCGCCAGGCCGGCGCGGCAGCGGCGCGCGGGGAGGGGGGCCGCCCCCCGCCAGCCCCCGCGCGCGCCCCCGCCCCACCCGCCCCACGCCGCGCCCTCCAGCGCCAGCACCTCCGTCTGCGGTGGCAAGCGTTCCGTACAATGTAATGACTCTCTCCTGCTCCGAGATGGCTTCGATGAAACAGCGAACGGGCCCCCGGTAAATAGGCTCCGGCGAACGTAAAGGTAAGAAATTTACAAAAACACGCCCCGATTTTCTCATTCGATAGATTCCCATATTTCCCTTTTCCTTCCCCGGAAGATCGTCGACGGACGTTCGATCGGGTTTTACTTTTTGAATCCTTAGGAGGGGCGATTTTAAATTTAAAAGTAACTCGATCTGACTTCGGAATTGTTTATTTTAAACATTTCGCCCTAAAACTTTATATAACTCACTCGGGCCGATATAGTGTTATCGGTGGGGCAAGATGAGCACAAGAGTTTTTTTAGTTTGGGCATACATTTTTATCACCCTACGTTGAATATAATAAAGTTATTATCGCGAAAGTTCCTTATCGCCATACACCGAGGACCGATTCACGAGCAGTAGAGCGAGTAGGGCGTACCTCCCGGATGGCCTTGGGCGCCTGCCCCCCCACGACGAGCAGCGCCCCCCCGCGGCCCCCCGCGCGGGGGCGGGCCCGCCGGCAGCGCGCCGCCGCGTCCGCGCGCGCCGCCCCCCCCGACAGGTGGAACGACAGCGCCTCGATCACCAGGTCCTGCGACCGGGACCAGGTTTCAAAAATTATAGGGGCTCGGAGGAAACCTTGCACGAGATCGCTTAAAGAGCGGCGCTCGAGGCGGAGGTCCGGGTCGACGTTCGCGGGGGATTTTTTCTGCTTCAACTGTTTCCGCCCGTTTCCTAGACAGTTTTCCTCCTGGTTCATCCCCGAACGACGTCTCGCGCTCCGATCGACTATTCGGTCGGCCGCGCAGCGCGACTTCGGAATATTGAAATAGTAGTATATGCAACTGTCATATAAGAAGGGGTATTAAAACACGAGAGTCTGAAAGTTATATGCAGTTTACACTACTTTATCTTCACTCATAGGAAAAATTTAAATTAAACAAAGTAGGTAGGTTACAAGGAAGTGATGCGTCATTTTTTTCACAGTTCGAACTGCGCATGCGTGCGCCTTTTTTTACATATTCAGCCTAAAACCATAGACTAATTTAATGAATAAATAAAGATAGCGGTACTATAATGAGTTTTAATTTTATGTATATGCGTTTTTATAGTGCGTTCGTATAGAATCGTGGAAGTGGACGTGGAAGTAGGTAAACATAAAGGGGCGCATGTGGACCTTGACCCTGACGGGCGCGGACAGCAGCGGCTCGGCGGCGGCGCGCGCCACCAGCACCTCCTGCGGCAGCAGCGGCAGCCGCACGTGCTCCAGCGCTGCGCCCAGCGACGAACACCGTTTCTGTGCACGCCGACAAATACGTACTGTATACGTTACGTTTATTAATGTCGTCTTATAGTCCGGTCGTTCGACGGATTCACCTCCGTTTTTCGGAAAACTGTATTGATCGATTTGAATTTTTTGAAAATTTGGTGATCGAGATATAAATTTATTTTAAGCACGAAATAAAAAATATTTTTATTCCGATAACCTAGTACTCTTCGAGTTATTCGCGATCGTATATGATGTTACGGCTTAAACTTAGTCCAAAATTTTTCAGACAGGTCGATGCCGTTTTAGATATATAGATAAAAAAGTTTATTTCTGTTTGTAACAAATAATTATATACAAAACGTTTACATTTTCTTTTAAAGAAACGGCAACATTTTTACTTCGAACGACTGGTGTTCGGATTATACCGAAATGATTTGGTAAATGATAATATAATGATGTGCGAATAAAATAATATCAAAGTTAATAGTTTACACGAATAGATTAACATGTAAATTAGTATAACTACTAAAACTATTGCACACTGTCAAACAGTAAATATGTGATACGCTTATTTTATGACATCTGTTACACCATATTTTTATGCAATAAATGATTGATTGAATAGAAACTGTATATTTGGAAACAACTATTAACACTAACTAACACGTATGAATGTATGATTGAATGTATGAGTACGCGTAGTGCTCTTGGTGGCTAATTATGAACTGAATTTATGATATTTAAGTAATTATAATGACAGCTGAACTAATTTGAGTCAAGCGGTGTAAATGCTGACAAGATTATGTACGCGCTTACATGTACAACTGGACTAATGCTGTCTGTTAAATTTGAGCAGACAATAAATCGCTGATGTATCGACACGTTAGCGATATTAATTTGCGATTATGTTACGATTTAGACTTTACAGACTCCAGGTCCGGTCTATCCACGGGAAAGGCATGAGCCTCAGTTATGCTATCAATATAGCATAATTGGGGTTCAGGCCTTTCCCGTGGATAGAATCGAATCAAATGTGATCAGGAAGAATAAGAATAAAGATAACTGTAATAAAATAAAAAAAATCAAGATTTTTTTTTCGATCTAATTAAATAACATGATTTAAAGTGATCTCATGGACTTTCCAATAAATAATAATATTTGCTTAAGGAGATGTAGACCAAAAAATGTAGCACTCACCTCGGGATCGTGCTGCATCCATCGGATTACGGCATCTAGGATGACTTCTTCGTTGGGGACCTGTGATCATCGAACGATTACAACACGACACATTTGAAGTGAAACCTATCGCAGCAGAGAGTCACAAGTAGAAACGCCCACCGTAATTCGGTCGCTGTCCAGCAGCTGGCAGAGGACGTCCGTGTCCAGCGCGAGGAACTCCTCGGACTCCAGTACTTGCGCGGCGTGCGCGTCGATGTACCGCGCGGCGGCGTGCGCCAGGTCTGCACAGGCGTGGTGGTCGGCGAAGGCGCGGATGCCCAGCGCGTTGTCGGGCTGCAGCGCGGCCGCCAGGAACGCGCAACACGCGGCCCGCACGCCCCACACCTGCACCAGGGACGCGCCCGCCAGCAGGCTCTGCACGTTGTCCTCCGTGATCTCCAGCGACTCCGGGGTGTACACGTACTCGATTATGGCCTCCAGGGCTTCGGGCTCGATGTTCTGCCGACCGGAGAACGTGATGAGCGGGGAGGCGAGGAGGGGAGCTTCGCCCCGAGCGCCCGAGGGGGCGAGCGCCTACCTGTATGGTGACGGTGGGCTGCGTGCGCTCCTCGAACTGCGTGAACATCGCGAGGAAGTACGGGGAGGCGGCCGCCAGCACGGCGCGGTGGGCCGCCACCCCCGGCCCCGGCGCCGCGCCCCCCTCCGCCTGCGCCTGCACACGACCGAAAAGAGAATGGGGCCGGTTCTTTTTTGGAACGAGCTCGACGATAATGCTTAAAAAAATTACCAACTCCAAGTACCCCGAATCCACAACCTTTCGCCATCATCTAACCGTTGAGCTATCCGTAACACAACAGAACTGACGAATTTATTAAGCCGAAATAATTATTTTATACTTTTGACTTCTATGAAAATTTGTTCCAATAATATTATAAATTACTTTTGTTAATTTTTGACACAATGTATTATCGTTTAAATGGTCGTAATAAATGTAACACCTGTATGACGACGTCGCAGAGCGTGTTGTCTTGCCGTAGCCGACACAGCGCGTCGAGCAGGCGCGCGGGGTGCGCGGAGGGCGGGTCGTACGCCGGCTCGCCGCCCGCCGGCCGCTGCGACGACTCGTCCAGCGACGACTGCGACGCGCACCGCATCAGCACGCTACACCCACCATCATTATACACGATATAGCCCATAAATAGAAGTATAATATTCTACAGCAATTCTAGTCACACATTTTTGTAAACATAATATCATTATCAAGACTTCTCTTCATAAAAAGCATTTCTTTTATTTACTGGTATTGTCACAGGAGATTTAGATGATGATTTAAGGAAAAAAAAAATGTGGAGAAGCAGGCCAGATGGTCAGACCTTGATAGTGCAGATCAGCAGCCGAATTTATAAAGAAACATAATTGATTTTTAATCTCCAGGCGAGGTGCATTTTTAAGATACTGGATTTTGGTTAAATAAGCCGAAATAAATATTTTATACTTTTATTTTGAAAGTTTTACAAAACTGCTTGGGGAGTTTAGGTTTGTTTTATCAATTATCAAATGTTTCTTTTTGACTTTTTAGAATTACATCATAAGTTTAAAGAAAAAAATAACTAAAAGTTAATTAAAAGGAGCTGCTAAATGAAACTTCTTTTAAATTTTTATTTTTTATGTTGGGAATCTATTATAGAAAAATATTATGTTCTATCTTTTTTTAACACAATACCCAAAAGGGAACTTTCTTCACTCCATTCCGTCTTTAGACCTTCATTTTAAAAGAAAAAGTGATTTCTTACCTTTTTGCCAGATCATGCACTTCATGATTCCTTTACAAAAATCAAATGGCAACACTGCTTAGTGATGGGTCAATTTGATAAACCTAAGTAACTTAAGAGTTGGAACATCTCTAATCCTATTATACTATCAATTGCTTTTTAATGTTCTAATTTTGTTAATGACATATTTTATAAGTAATGTATCTTAACAAAATTATCTTCAAAAATAATTAATCAGTAATGGTGTGTGCCATACCACATCTCAGTATACAACTGGAACAATGTCTGTGGTTTAATAATATAACCTGGTACTTATTACCTTATATATAAATAAAATAAATAAGGTAATAATAAAATTTAAATAAGCTACATATGATAAGGGAGGAGAACAATGATTTTTTTTGAAATTGATTGTTACAATAATTGGTTCACATCATTGAAATTTATTTCAAAATGTTGCTTAATCGGTTTACGAGTGGAGTTTTCCCCTTTTTAAGTTTTTTATTTGATAAGGTTATTTAAGCACAACGAAGTTTTGTAATATTACCTATATCTGCCTCTGTCACCATCACCCTCAACGCTGTCATCACCACCCAAACTAAAAGATAAAAATGTGACGTCTCATTACAATTTTTAACAAACAAATGAACCTGGTCTGTATTTCTTCAAATAATAAACACGATTTTCAAAAAGAACTAAATAGCAAGATGGCTATATTAAGCTCATTCTTTCTTCTTCACTATCTCTTGATTTTTCAACTAAAGATTTGTAGCAGGTGTTGATAAATTCACTTACCGGGGTTGGTCCCTCTCCTGTTCATTTCTGTCGTCCATTTTTCACTTAATAATACACAGTCTGTTCTTTGAGTTACTGTCGATATGAACTGACAAAGGAAGTCACGATCGCAGCTATATGATGAGACTTTTATTTATATTTTCATTTAGTAGCATCATTTCCCTGCTCTAGCCCCAATTTTATTTCGGATCAGCAAATTTCACTTAATAAATCTTTATACCAAATTAATGACTGTCGTATAGCAAAAACAATAACACATTTAACCACTTAGCCTACTAGATTATATGCCTGAATAAATCATTTATCTTATTTCGAAATAAATTTTACTGACATGTCATTTTTAACAACAAAAACAAAGTGTCAAACATGTGTCAAGTGGTGTCAAATGTCAAAGCAATGTCAATAGTTAGTGGTCAATAAACATCCTCAATATAGTCAAAGGGATTTAGCCCGTACATCTTTACCCGTGGTAAATAATACCACAGTAAAATACTTAACGAACTAAAAATATTAAATGAATATTGAGAAAAATCTCTATTATTGAAAACCGTATGAAAATCCGTCAAGTACTTTCGAGTTTATCGTGAACACACAGACAGACAGAAGCGGCGGGGCCTTTGTTTTATAATATGTAGTGATAATAAGGGACCAAATAGAAACTGTTTACAAATTTTAAAGATTTTTGCAAAATAATAATTATTTATATTTTTATAAATTATCGATCAACAAAAATATCATTTTTCATTATTTGTCAATGAGTTTAATAACTAGAGAAGCAATTTCATACAACAGACGCGCCAAAAAGCGTAGCACTTTTCCGAAATCAGGACGTAGCTTTGCAAATAATATTTATACTATATAATATAAATAGGTTTATTATATTTGTCTCTCTCATATCTACGATTAAACCTTAAATTAAACAAAGACAGAATATGTGCGAATGACAGAATGAACGGAAAAATGAGTAATTGATATTATATTGCCAGCTCTCGAAAATTCACCCATTATGATGAATGAATAAATGAACAAATAATGTAGATATATGTATAAAATCAATTAGAAAAATACTCTATCTTTGAAAATTTATTTGAAAAAGCTTTGAAAAAAAACAACCACATAAGTAGGCTCTGTGCATATAAATCCCTTTGTTTTTGATAAAGTCAGTTACAAGAGAAAAACATTTGTTAAAGTTAACAAAAGATCAAATAAAGGTTCAATTTTACGTATTTTCAAAAGTTGTAGCTCGACAACTAACGAATTCCACGCCTTGAAAAAATTAAATTGACTTTAAAAAATTAAACCACTTTAGCATCTGTGTGCGTGTATGAAAAAAATATAAACACGATTTGCACAGTTGCCTAAACTAAATATGAGCCATATAATTATAGCCACATAAAATAAAAAGAAAAGGCTCCCATATAGTGGGGAAAATTGAAAGTGAATAGCAATGACAACACTGACGATAAAATGTAAAAATTTTATTTGTGAAAATTAAATATTTTTATTTTATAAACTAGCTTTAATTTTGTTTTTATTGCCAAAAATGTTAATGACCTAAGTGTGAAACTTAATATTCTTTCGTATTATGTGTATTTGTGAAAGATAATCGTATTTTATCCACTGTTTTTCTTCGTTTTTGCGGAGCATTTTTTTGTACTTTCTCGGCGGGAGTTGAATGAGTATTGAAATGAAAAACGATAAAACTAAGACAAACGTCTTAGTTTTAGTAGCTTCACTTTTTGGCTATGTATTGCGCATCTAGAGATATTAATATCATTGTTATTTGTAGTCTATGGCTCACATCAAACGAAATACCTACCAATCAGAGCGCATGACGTCATTTGTGGGTAAATTTACAGTAAAATTATGTAGAAAGAGCAAGAGAAACATTGAATCAAATCATGTGAAGCGCTAGAATATACTGTCGATCAAATAATCAAAGCCATGAAAGCATCATACGGCGAAAGTTATCCTCTGAAGATTAAAAGGGACAACAAGGTGCCATGGTGGAATATCAAACTCAGTAAACTGAGGCAAGAAACACGTTAATTATTCAATAAGGCAAAAACGACTGGAAACTGGGACCGATATTTTAATGCCCTAACCACGTACAACAAAGAAACAAGAAAAGCAAAAAAGACTATTGTGGAAAAATTTCTGGGAGGAAATCAACAAAATACCTCAAGGAGCTAGAATCCATAAAATCTTACTAAATCATCATCTAATCAACTGGGACTTCTAAAGAAACCAGATGGAACCTTCACTGAAACTGTGGAAGAAACACTAGAACTCCTAGCGTCAACACACTTCCCGGGCTCAGACACTATAAAGATAAAGAATGCATTTCCAGGCCTACAAATGAAGACTGGAAGAGAGCAGCAAAACATATCAGACCAATCATCGTAAACTTGGCAACAGAGTCTTTTAAACTGTGTTTTAAACCATATAAATCTGCTGGTGAGGATGACATATTTCCAGCCCTACTGCAACAAGGTAGAGACATCTTCACAACTATTCTGGTAAATTTTTTTAGGACCAGTTACGCCTGGAGATGTCCGGTTTATTACCATGGCTGGTAAAAAGGATTATGCTCAACCGAAATCCTTTAGAGTGGTGGTCGGTAACACACTGCCCAAGGGCCGCGTGCGGCCCGCGAACGTCTTACTTGCGGCCCGTGAATGTTTTGTTCATAAGTTTTAAATATCGAAATAAATTTATAAACGAACCGCGATCGGATGAAGAACGTGCCTCGCTCTGCCCGCGAACATAACTAACATAATATTCTAACATAATAATTATATATATTCTCTTTGCCGCGAACGAACAAATGAGCAAAATAATTAAAAATAAATAGGCATTTCAAATATTACAATGTTCATCAATAACAATTTTTAATTTATTAATAATAATATAATATTTATGTCAATTTTTCATTAAAAAATTCATCTATATTGTAATATGCTTTATTCAGTAAGAATAATTTTAATTGATTATTAAATGATATTTCTGTTTCCAGATTTTTAATATAGTTTGGTATATGATTATAATTTTTTGACAAAGCATGCGGGCCAGAAGATACTATTTATAATTTAGAGAAGTGTATTTTAGTTTGTTTAAATATCTATTGCCTCTCCTAACACTTGTTATAGGTGTATAAAATTCTGGGTGTTTCCTTACGAACTTACATGTTTCAAGAATATATATTGACACAAGAGTCAGTATTTTGTGTTTAATAAAATGCGGACGACATGATTCCATTTGGTCAATATTAGCCATTATTCTGATACACTTCTTTTGTAGTATAAATATTTGATTTGAAATGAGTTTCCTCAGAGTACAATTCCGTAGGAGAGAATTGAATATGCATATGCATAGTAAGCTGTAAGGGAGTTTTAAAATCCGTTACACGTTTAAGATGATGTAGTGCATATATAAAATACGACAATTTATTTACGGTTTTTTTAATATGTGTTTTCCAATTCAAACACGTATCCAAATCCACTCCCAACAAAGTAGCAGAATCAACGGTCTCTAATTTTGTGCCCTTATAACTATATGAAATTTGCAATTTTGATTTTTGATGTGGCTTAAACTGAATAATTTTGGTTTTACTAAGATTAAGTTGTAAATTATGAAAGTTTAGCCAGTTTACTATTTTGTCCAATGTAGAATTGAGTTTATTAAGTCTGTTCCATTGGAGCATGAAAATAACACAGAAACGTCATCGGCGAAAAGCATACATAGGTCGTCTAATATATTTGGAAGATTATTTATATAAATAAGGAACAAGATACATCCTAAAACGCTGCCCTGGGGAATAGAACCTTCAATATGGTTTGCATCTGATTTGGTATAGGTAATCATACCCGTTTCAAAATTTGTATGTTGAATTTCTACATCTTGATAACGGTTATTTAAGTTAAGAGGTAAGATTTAAACCAATCACGGGCTTCTCCTCTGATTCCCGTTTGGTATAATTTATTCAAAAGTGTTTATATGACACCCTATCATAGGCCTTAATACTCATATCGAGTAAAAGGCCTACAGCATAGTTTTTATTATTAATTTCGTTTAAAATATTTTTTATATATTTATAAATTGCTAAGGTGGTGGAATGGTTTTTTCGAAAGCCGTTTTGATTTTCATGCAAGATTTTGTATTTTTCAAAGAAGGAATACATACGCCTCGCGATAACTGATTCAAATATTTTTGCTGATGTTGGTAACAAAGCGATGGGTCGGTAATTATTAACGTCGGTTTGATCTCCCTTTTTGTGGATAGGTTTGATTATGGATATTTTTAACGCGTCAGGAAATATACCTTCTGAAATGGATTGATTTAGTAATTTAGTAGGGGAGACCTAGGAGAGTTGTGACAATTTTTACATAAGGGGCTCTATCTCGCTTAAGAAACATTCCACAGTTATGACTCATGTGAATTAGTTTAGCGCCATTCTTTCTGTTTTCAAAACCATCACTAAAATTAATTAAAGTATAATAGTTTCTGAAAAAAATAACAAAATTCAAGTCCACTCCCCTTGTCACAACTCTCTTACCACCGAGGTAAGTTGTGACAGGTACCGAGGTAAGTTGTGACATCATTGTATTTAAGCTATAAGATATAAAAATACCATTACATATGACATAAATAAATCAAGCACGTTTTTTTATCAAATCAGTACTTTAAGCAGTACTATCCCAAGTAGCACAAAACACCATTATATCAAACTTATGATAGCACGAGTCCAAGCGTTAAGCATTATAATAAAATCGTATATCAACCGTATTTCTTTTAAACGACTCTTA